ATTTTGTTTTCAGTGGTTTTTGTATGCACAGTTAAGGGAAAGATTTAAGGTAGCAGGACATTTGGAATTGAACAGCAGAAGACAGAATTTGAAGCTGAACTATGTACAAATTATGAACATGTAACTGCTAAAATGTGTAAACTTTTATTGAAATTTGAAATGGAAGAACAAGAGCATATGATAAAATGGGCTAAGAACTTTGGACATAATATATTGATGGAACAATGGGAAAATATATGGTTGAAAGGACTGAAATTTATATTATAATTTAAAAGAGAACTTTTATAAAATGATTACCATTGGCACATGACTCCAGAAAAAATATCTAGAATATATAAAATGTTTACTTCAAATTTACGTTGGAAATGTGGAAAACACGAAGGGTCATTTTATCATGCCTGGTGGACTTGTAAAAGAGCTAGAAAATTTTGGGTTCAAATACATACAGTGATAAAAGTATTTTAAAGATTAATATTCAACTGAAACCAGAACTCTTCTTTTTGGGACTAATGGATAGACAATTAGGAAAGAGTTATGGAAGATTTTTTATACATATGATAACTGCTTACAAGATTATTATATGCACAAAAACATTGCTTTCCTTTCTTTCTCTTCTCTATTTCTTTCTTTATACTTTTTTCCCACTTAGTACTTTTCTTTACTTTCCTTACTTTTCTCTTTCAAAATTTGTATTGCTTTTATTCTTTAATTTTTTAAAAATAAAAATTATATGTCAAAAGAGAGAGAGAGAGAAAGAGAGGGAGGTGAGAGAGATGGGCAGAAACAGTGGGAGAAAAGCGGTCTTTCAGCCAGGCCTACTGTGACAGCCAGGACCTTGTGGAGCGTTGGGTTCGATCTCTCCCTTCTTCAGCTCTGCTTGGACTAGCTACAGGGAAGGGAGGAGAACCAGTGCAAAGCCATGCCCAGAATGGTTGATAGTATCAAAAGCAGCTGAGAGATCCAGGATGCACTATAACTCAGTGCCTCAAACAGCCCTGACTGAAAAGGGTCTTGATAATCCACTTCTTCCAGGGTTCTCTGCAGCTGTAACCTGACCAGCTTTTCTCAAAAAGGGAAGGTTAGAGATGACAAAACAGTGGCAGCAATGGCTCCTTGAGTGGGGGCATATGCCACTGCTTCTGTCAAGGCAGGCAAAACCATCTGGCCACTCAAAAAACGAATTCACCACCATGTGGGGATCAGCCCCATATTACCTTCTGGGAGGCCTTAACTACCTGGGAAGAACATAGATCTAAAAGTCATATGGCCAGGTTAATAGTTCTGAGGATCCTGCCCACTTTCTAGGAGTTATAGGAGCAAACATTTCCCAGATAACAGAATGCTCTAGGTGTCTTTTCTGTTGTTTCATCTCCTGGAGCTCCTCAGAAAATGAGGGAGCCCTTGGGATCAACAAACAAGAAGAGACTAGATAAGAACAATCCAATCCAAGGCCCTCATTATGCACCCATTCCAGATGACAACTGAGGCCTTAATTGAATTGCCCACCAGATCCTCAGTAAAAACCCCAAACTCCTTCTGAAACCCATCCATGCCCAGTATTCACCTGGGGTGGGCTGATATTACAAGTCCGACCTCCCTGAAGAAGGGAACAGCATTGGCCAGCCATAAAGCAACTAGACAGTGATCAGACAGTGGCAAAGGACATGTCTTGATGTCCTTCACAGTCAGATCGCATCACAACTGCCCCAAGACAAGAGCCAGAACTAACACATGAGTGCCTGTGTATGCTGGCCCCACAATGACCTGGAATAGGCACGAGGTCCCCAGGATGTCCATGATTTCCTGAGTCGTTCCAGACTCTGCCATCAGAGTGCAAGTTAAAGCCTCAGATAGAGGCTTCACCACCAACCTGGTGAAAGAATTTATAGCTCAGACAGAGATTTGCAGTGCAGTGCCTCAAAAAGCCACTATGGCTTCCTGGACCACCTTTCCCCGCCCTGGGTTCTATTGAAACCTAGGTGGGCACATCTCTGAGAAAGGAACAAAAGCCTCTGGACCCACCCAGATCTCAGTTGTACATGCTAGGTTAGTGGTCTCATCCACAAGAAGATCATGAATGAGGGAACCTTTTTATGGGCCATTCCCATTCCCAGGCAGAAAGAAGGAAATAGGATTTTGAAGGTATAACTGAAAGCTGATGGAATGACCACCATGATTGGAATGTTGCAATTGAAGGGTGCAATTTGTTCCAGAGGAACAGACACAAAAAGAGGAGTTGCAGTTTGTGTAAGAGGTATTCATATCTGCTCAGGAATCCAAGTGAATCGCATGGTCAATGCCATAGAGAGCAGCTGGGTTGAAATAAGAAGAGGTACAAATAAAAGCAACACAGTTGTTGGAGAAGATGAAAGTGATGTCTTCCCAAAACAAATGACAGAACTTTCACAGAGGTGTGAAGTTGTAATGGTGGAGAGGGGACTTTAATTAGCCTGTAATCTGTTGTGAGATACATTCTGCTAACCCTAAGCAGTAGCGCTTCCAGGATTTTTATTTTTTTTTTTACTTGTCTCGCTAACAGCTATATCCTTCAGGGAATGGAGGAAGGCACAAGAGGATCAGCTACTCATGCCTTGATTCTAGTAGGGAAGACATAGCTGAAGAAGTGAAAATATCAGGACACCAAATGACCATGTAATATTGGAGATGGAAAATTAAAATGGAGAATAGTCAAATATATGACAGGCTTCACAAAAGCAGATTTTAATAAACTCAGGGCAATGCTCATAAATCTCATAGCAGGAGAAACTAAAAGGGAAAGGAGCTCATGATTGGTGCTAGTTCCTAAAGGAGATATTAAAAGAACAATTGCAAGCAATTCCACTCAGGAAAAAAAATCAGGAACAGCTGAAAAAGCCAATGTGGCAACCTGGAAAGCTTTAGTGATGATCTGAAAACACAAATAGTGCATGCAGGAAATGAAAGGGGAAAAATACAAACAGGCAACTTGGGATTGATGAGCTGATGACAGGAAAGTAAAAGCTGAGAACAAACTGAGATTAGTGAAGATGCTAAGAATGATAAAAGGAGTGTCTTTATATGTACTCAAAATAAAAGGAAAAGAATCAGCTCCTCAGTGGAAACAAGAAACAAGGAAAAGGCAGAGCTACTCAACTCCAGTTTTGGTTCAGTCTTTTCCAACAAAAAATGATACATTCTACCATGACATTCTGAAGAGCAGAATGAAGAGGAAGGTTTCAAGCTTGAGATTTATAAAAACGTGGTCAGGGAAGAACTATTTACTTTGGATAAGTTTAAGTCTCTAGAACCTGATGAATTGCTCATTTGAGTATTGAAGGAACAAGTTGATGATCTGGCTGAACCTTTGTATTGTCCTTGAGAAATCTTGGAGAAATGATGATGTGCCAGATGACTGGAAGAGACAAAATGTCCTGTCTTTAAAAGGGAGAAAGGAAGACAACTGACCAGTCAGCCTGACATTGATCATTGGGATTCTAGGGCAGCCGATAAAGAGATCGTTCTGTGAGCACCTCGGAAACAGTGCAGTTAATTATCAGAAGTCAACATGGATTTGTCAACATCAAATCTTACCAGACCAGCCTAATCTTGTTTTTTGATTGCACAACTTCCTTAACTGTGGGAATGCTTTTGATATATCTTGACTGCAGCAAAGCATTTGAGAATTGTCCCTTGATATGCTGATTAGCAAGCTAGATACATACCTGCCTCAAAAGTCATAGTTGAATAATGGTCAACAATGTGATCACAGGAAATAATCTTTTCACTCTATTACCCTTTGGTCAAACCCTACCTTGAGTATTACGTCTAGTCCTGGCACCATACTTCAAGAAGGATTTTGAGAAAGTGACACAGGTTCAGAGAAAGGCAATGAGGATGATCAAGGGACTAGAAACTAAGTCTTATGGACAGAGAATTGAAGGAGCTGAGGATATGTAGCCTTGTGAAAAGATGATTAAGTAGGATATGTCTCCTCCAATACCTGAAAGGTTGATGCAGGGAAATTCAAAACCTGTTCATATTCCAGAATGCAGAAAATGGAATAATGGATTTAGGCTATAGGGAGGCAGATTCTGACAGTGGTTCTTAATAGTCAGAATTGTCCAGGTGTGCTATTGGTCCAGAGAGGCAGTGAGCTTCTTCTCATTAGATGTAAATAAAACCTGGGATGTTTTAATCTGGATTCCTGCATTTAGCAGGGGGTTGATCTTGAGGGCCTCCCAGAGTGCTCCAACTTTAGGGTCACAAATGGTTATGTGTGAAGGCAGTACTTGTATTGACCACTTTTATTACTGAATCTCAACCCAGAACTTGTTTGTTGAACGGTATTGAATTCCAGATATGCTTATATGGCAGAGGGGGGTTCTTCTGATATTTTTCTGCCTTCCTCAGCTCTGCCCAGAAATAAACTGGAAGCTAGTGAAATTCAGCCAAAGTTTGTCCACTAATTTGAGCATGCTCCAGGTCCCTTCCTTGAGGGTTAGGGCCATCTTATGGGATTGAGGAGATGTGCTTTCTCTCTCCGTTGCTGTACCTGCCTTTTGGAATGATGTGTGGGTGGCGCCAGCCCAACCAGCTTTCATTGAGCTGGTACTCCTGGCTCTTCTCCCATGCAGTGGGCTGGGACCTGGGTGGTACCTGAGCCTGTGGTTTTAGGGAAGGGAGTGGTAGTTGTTTCCAGCCTTGGCTATGCATTTACGGCGGTGGCTTTTGTATTTGTTTTATACTTGTATGCCACCTAGAGTCCTAATTTATGAGTTGGGTAGGAAAAAAGAAGGGAGGGAGGGAGGGAGGGAGTCTCAGTTCAGATCCTTATGTGATACTTGCCCACCCACCCCCGGTTGGGTGTATATTTCCACAGCCTCTGATGCTCCCCACTCCCCAATAGCATGACTTTCTTCCTTTTGCTCAGAACATGAAGCCAAGAGGCAGATGCTATCAGAGCTCCCTTTGAAGTAATCCTAACAGTGGCTCACCATCTACTCCTTGTCTTCTGTAAGCAGGTCAAGACTGGCAGATTTCCACACCAACTGCCAAGCCTTCCACCAGTTCCTCACCAGCTGCTCCAGGGACAACTACCAGGCGTGCCTGGGCTCCTACACTGGCCTTATAGGTAAGTCTCGGAGACCAGGAGGGGCACAAGTAAGGAAGCTGCCTTACTCCTGGGATGAGATTCTCAGAGCCTGGAAACAAAATGGTGCTTCCAGAATACTGCAGAACAAGGAAAAATGGACATTTGAGTGGTATTGAATAGGTGATTGGCATCTTCTCCATTAAGGCAAGACTCAGTTAAAACTAAGATGAAAGGCCCACCTTATAGAGACCCACCTTAAGCCCACCTTAATGTACTCAATGATCAATAGGATCAATAGACTCACCTTAATGTACTCACTGATCAGTGAAGGCCAAGGATCACATCCAGTTTCCACAATTCTGTAAGCTGGCCACTTCCTCATTGCAACAAACCTGCCAACTCTCAAGATCTTGCTTTCTTGATTGTAAGATGCTGTAAGGGGCTTGAGATTAATCTTGCAAACTGGAAATGTGTACCTTGGCCATCATTTATCAATGAGTAGATTAAGACAATACTTTGATCTTCTTTCTAAGTTTTGTTGAATTTGGGCAAGGTTAACCACTTATTCAGTACCACAAAAATGTCGGTTTGTTCTTGTTCTGCAGTATTGTCCAATTGGAAATGTCCAATTTTGTTCCCAGGCTTGGAGGATTCCATCACAGGTAGGTCCTGATGGGAAAAGGCCTGGGGTTGGTGGGTGAGGAACAGAGAGGCAGCCTTGGCTGGAAGGAGAAGGACTGGGGTGTTCTTCAGGCCAGCAGCCTGGAACACAAGGTCTGAGGCGCAACCTTCCGGATGCCCTTTTTCCTAAGTGTGACTCTTGCACAACTACAAAATCCTCTTGAGTTTTCAGGAAATCTATCAGGAGAAAGATCCCTTTCTAGAGCTCCTAATGCATGTGTGCCCCCTAAGACCCTGAAATCAGCAGTTTTTCAGTGGCCCAAGCTGATGGGAGGCAAACCATTTCCATATCCACCCTTCTAACCTCCCCCTCCATGAAAGGTGGCCCAAAAGGACACTGCAAACATTTGGTCATTTTGTGGAATGATTTGGTATTGTGATTTGGGTAGGGGGTTTTTTGTATTTGGGGTGTTAAGTTTACTTCACCTTCCAAAAGCCAAATGTGAAAAAATGCACTGAAAATTTCAGGTGCCCTCTTCCTGTTATCACAGCCTCCGATTCTCTAGAAGATGGAAAAGCCAGGTTGCAGCCCCACCTTTTAATTTTGCCAACCCCATCCTAAAGGCAACATGGTCCATAGTTTATTTCTGAACTTGTTTGACAGCCATGGCATCTCCAAAACTAGTATGTTGCATATATGGTCTGAGGTGTAGCGGACTGTCTTTTGGGCATCAGGAATGGGTTAGGGTTCTCAGAGAACAATGAAAATATGTAACTTTTCCCTCCAGTTGGACTTGGTGCTTAAGGAAGCCAACGTTATTTAAGGAAATTGTGGAGGATAACAAATTGTTCAGGGCTGTGAAGAGCACCAGAAGGTTCACTTTAAATGGAATGAATTGTCAGTTGAATGACAAATACTACAGAATTGTAGGTACCTTGGAGATCCTCTGTTGCAATCCTCTTTTCAGGGCACAAATACACAACTAACAACCACCCACAGACAGCCCTCCATTACACTTGGCTACAGCTGCTACCTGCTCATGGAACAGGAGCTGTGGGTCCAAGTAGACCCTCAGATTGTGCACCACCCTTGAATGGGGAAGTGCAACCTATCCAAGGTTATTGAAATGTCCCTGGACCAAGGTGGCAGCCACTTAGTCTTGGTAGGATTGAGCTAGAAATGGTTCTTCCACATCCAGGCACGTGTAGCCTCACTTGACTGGCCTGGGGTCGAAAGTTATAGTTGAGTGTCATCAGCATACTGATGATACTGGACCTCAAATTGGCTGAACTGCTGCCTTTTTCAGAGCCAGCAGAACCACTCTTCTCTCAAGCAGACATTTACCACTGCATGGATCCACTCACATGCCCCTTCCTTGGAGACTTTAACCAACCAGGAGGGGCCTGGATCTAATACATAGGTAGCCATACGTACAGCTCTGAGGACCCTGTCCACTTCTTTGGGACTAACAGTTCAAGCTCATTCCAGATAAGAGCACAACACTGTGCCTCAGTCACAGTGGTGTGGCCCCTTTTTAAGAGAATATCCCTGGATTCAGCCAATCTGGACAATGTTCATCCAGTCACCAATTTTCCCTTTTAAGGGAAGGTTGCTGAGAAGATGGTCAGCCTCCAGCTTCAGAGGGCCCTGGAGGAAGCAGATTATCCAGACCCTTTTCAGTCAGGATTCAGACTGAGATACAGCTCTTGTCAGTGACCTGCAGTGAGCTCAGGATGGGGGTAGTGTGTCCATCCTGGCACTCCTTGCTCTCTCCATGGGCTTCAATACCATCAACTATGGAATCCTATGGGATGTAGGGGACCAGGAATGGGGGCACTGTCTTCCCATGGTTCTCCTTCTTCTGAAGCTGATTCCAACTGGTGTTGGTGGGAGGGGAGAGGTCGAGCCCTAGACCCCTGCTTTGTGGGGTACTTCAGGTCTTGTAGGACAGAGGGAAAATCCGTTGTCAAGGCAACAATCAGATAAACGAGGTTTGAGCTCAGACCAAGAAATTGTTTATGAAAACAATTCAGACATCAAGATTCAGGTATCAAGAGGGTCTGAGGCTTGTGAGGGAGCCAGAGGGGGCCATCCAAAGGAAGGAATGGCTCTGGAGGAAGCCGGTCTCCCCAGATTCTGCAGGCGGCTGTGTGGTCCCTGCTATCCTTTGCCCGGAAATAGGTCTGCAGCTTCAGGGTGAAGTGGGATCAATCAAGAGCCTCCTGGCCTTGTGAGGGAAAGCCCCACCAAGAAACGTCTGTTTGTCTGTCTGTCTTTATACGACCGGTGCAATCGCCCATCTCACAGCCGCAAGGGGTTGGCACATGAGACCCCTCTTCTCAGCAGTCTCATGACCTGTGCTCCTCCTTCTGGGACAGGTTTGGACATGACCCCCAACTACGTGGATGCAAGCTTCAGCAGCCTGGTGGTCTCCCCATGGTGCTCCTGCCGAGGGAGCGGCAACATGGAGGAGGAATGTGAGAAATTCCTGAAGGACTTCACTGAAAACCCTTGTCTCCGTAAGCCTCCCGGTGGATTCCAGGCCCCTTTCCTCATAGGAGGGAGAGGGGGAGTGTCTCTGCACCCTTCCCATGGACATTTGGCCATCCTTGGCATGCTCCTTCACACCCTACTGGGAACCCTTCTGTGGGGCAGCGGAGTTGCCTCAGGTTCAGGAGGACCATGGTCTTTAGCAAGCACCCCCATTCTCTCGAAATGGACAGATGCGTTTGGGCTGCATGTGATGGCCTGGGGAGCACAAGCATGACCCTGCCCGAGGGTGGGATGGCCTGACCCCCTCCCCGATGGGCCTCTGCCTCACCCCGGCACTTTGCAACAGGAGGCTCAGGGAGCGCGGGGTACAAATGAGCAGCTCTCGCTTGTTTACAAATGGGCTGAAGAGCCAGAGGGCCCGGGCGCCATTATGGTTCTGGGAGTGGAGCCAGTTCCCGTAGTTATTGGTTGCCCTGCTTATTCCCAGCTGCCCCTTGGCTTCCGATCATTTGGTGGTGCTCGGCAGATCCACTGATCTGGCAAATCTGCCCTCGATGGCTGTGGAAGGCGCAAAGCACGCTGCATGGGAAGAACAGCTAAAGGATGAAAGTGTGCACGAGCAGTGGGTGGTGGTGGCAGTGGCGGCTGAAGGCGTCAGAAAGCCAAGCTAGCAGTGGAAGACACGCGACTCTGCTCGCTTTGCTCAAGGATCCCGGCTGGGTGAATCGCCTGACAAGGGCTCTTCACTGGGGAGAGAGACTGTTCTCTTGTCCACCTCTCTTTTCCCTCCCACTCAGGAAATGCTATTCAAGCCTTCGGCAACGGCACAGGCTTGACCTTCTCTTCCAAGTCCCTTCCGCTGCCACTCCTCACCCTGCCTCCTACGACAGGAAAGGGCTGCTCTTCGCCATATGACATGAATGACAGTAGCGTTGTCTGCAACACAAGCATGATCACCCCATGCACCTCTGCTGAGGTAAGGCCATTGCAGGTTCTCCTCTGAGTCTGTGAAATAATCCATGGAAGGCACAGGAATTCTTACTCAGAAAATTATGGGTTTGCAATGCCAACTTCCATGGCCTAGATGAGATTTAACTCTGACTATGACAGCTATTGAATCCTAAAAATGTTCTGTAGGAGATCATTAGACAATCTGTGAACATTAGGACAGAAGGTAGGTATCACTAAGAACCAAAGGTGTTTCTTAAGAAACAAATCAGACTACAGGAAACACTCGGCTTAGGAGATAACAGGGATGCTAGCAATGGGCCTAGCTTGATTTCAACAAGTTGAATTTGTTTGTCAAGCTGGTTGACAGCTATGGCTAGATGATGTCCTAGGCGCATTTGGATTTATAACTGGTTGACAGAGAAAATCCAGAGAAGATTCTCAATGGTCAGAGGAGAAGCAAGAAGTTCTGCCTGTTCATAAGCAATTGAGACAAAAATTAGAGGCAAATGACCCAAAGATAGGCAGGCCACTAATATTTTAGAAGGCAAACAGAAATCCAGATGTCAGTTTTGACTGACAGACAGAATGAATTTCAGAAGGGATGGATTAAAATTGTGCATTTAGGTAGGAAAAATCAGTTGCACACACATAGGACAGCTGGTACTGGCCTTGGTGAAAGAGACAGTGGTACTGTAGGGGAGCTCAAGCTGAATAGGAGTGTGATGTGGCAGGACAGATCTCAGTCACACCAAAGAAATGATGCTGGCTGCAGCACAGGAAGGGTTTTTCAGATGCAGGAAGTGCAGGAGGGGTGGAGGGATAACCAAGCCTTGGTCCCAGGAGGGGGGTGTTCAGAAGAGCCCTGAGTCAAGGCACAAAACGCCTTTTGCCAGCTGGGGAGGAACTGTGCCAAGACATATGCCCCTGCTGCCCTTTCATAGGGCCCTCTGGAGAGGTGCTCTCCCCCTCTCTGCTCAACTAGGATCTGTTGCTGCACACTGCCTCTCCTCCATTCAGTGAGCACATGTGAAGGCAGCCGTGTCACCCTTGGGCAGCCTCTAATTAGATCTGGCATGCCTGAGAAATTACATCTTATGTTCCTCGTTACCTCTGTAGGAGACAGTCAGGAGCTCAATTTCATGCAAGAGTTGCAGTGCATCAGAGACGTCACCGGGCTCTTGCAGGCACTTCCACCAGGTTCCGTGACTGCGCTGGTCCCTCCTAACTTGCAGGGGGTGGGGAAGGAGGGCTGTTCTATCAATTTTTGCCAGTGAGCTGAGTTGCTTGATGTCTGTCTTGGTTATGACCACAGAAAAAGGAAACTGCCTGGTTGCCAGATGGGTCTTTCCAGCTTGGTCAAGCGAAGTCTCCTTCTATCAGCCCCCGACCAGGACTGGCTCAGGGCTGCCCAGCCTCCCCTCCCCCTTCCCCAGTGACCCAGCGTCCTCTTTCTTTGCTGATTCAGTAGAAAGACGAGATTGCCTTTTTCCATGTGTCCATCCCTGCGGATGGGGAAAACCTTCAGGGAAAGGAGCGTGGCACATGGTTTAGGGTGCATGCATGTGCACGCGTGTGCGCGCACACAGACGCACAAACTGTGCTCCTTACGGTTGTGGAGCCAGAGGAGCTGCTGCTGCTGCTGCTCCTTTTTTGGAACTCTGAGGCCAAATCCAAGTGCCTGCTGTGAGCGTGGAAGCTGAAGGGCACCACGGCCCTCCCTTTAATGGCCCAGCAGTGAATAAGGCCCTGCGGAAGTTGTATTTCTCCTGGTGGGAAACCAGCGTGGCTGAGCTAAAGCTGCTCCATGCTGGTCTCGTGCTCCCGAAAGGGAGATGCTCACTTGTGCCTTTGCACCCTGGACCTGATTCTGTGCCACACACAGAAGCTTTTGTGTCTGGCTACTCTAGCCCAGATGGATTATTCCTTTCCAATTCCAGACACTCCTTTTCATTTCTTCCCTCTTCTCAAGGCATATATTTGAGAAAGGAAGTGCAAGGCATGTACAATATTCTTTTTCTTCAAATCTGGCAATCGAGCAGGTGAGAGAAAAGGATGACCCTTTCACACTTAATCCTTCTGCTGATGCGTCTGACCACTGCATGGTGTAAAGCACCGCAGAGCGAAAAGGCGCTTAAGCAACCTGCTGCCAGCCTTGCTGTTGTCCCAGGTCAGGGCTGTAAAACTGCAAGTCTGTGATGAAAATCGGGAACTGTCTGGTGCCCTTCGGCAGCCTTTGCACAATGACAGCCCAGCATCAACTTGTGGGAGCCAGGCTCCGAGGGCGAGTAGGGCACGTGAGCAGAAGGGGAAGAGAAAGGGAATGGTCTCCCTGAGTTTCAAGAAGGCTTGGTTCTGCCAGCTGGGAGCCATGTGATCCAGGCTGAGTTGCTGGCACTGCAAGGGATGAGAGCTCCAAGGCTTTCCAGTTGAACTCCTCCTCCCCAGATAACACGGCACTGCGTTAAGCAGAAGATTCATTGACCTGGAGCATCCCACGTTATCTGGAAAAGAGCACGGTTTTCTTATTGACAGTGACTTGTGGGGGTCTGAAGACTATCCCATCTGCTTTGGGGAAACAGAAGACCTTCTCCAAATGAAGGAGAAAAGACATGTTTTTGACGTTCTGTTTGCTCCTTACTTACTTACTGATTTCATACTTCAGAAGGTCCTTGCATTTGATTCACCAGTTGAATTCTGTAGGGAACTTGTTCATATCTGGTCGTTCTCTCCCTGCTCAGTGATTTCTGTTCGAAGATGCTTTGCAAACACAGTGAAGGCATTTACACCCAAAGTCCTGGCCGCAAAGAATCTCCAACTTGGTGATCATGAAAAGACTCCTTGTTTTGCTAGAGAGTTCTTCTGAAGAGGAAATAGGGAATGCCAGACTCACCAAGCCCCCCACCCCCCCAATGGTTTTCCCTCTTGCGTGGCTCAGAAGCAGCGCAGGGATGCTTTAGCCATGGTATCCTTTGCTTTTGATTTGCCACAAGTGGTGGATCCATCGGAGGCATTTAAACTGGTACCGGTGCTGGCTTCTCCTTCCACTCTGCCAGCAGTCTGTGAATTCTCAGCATGCTGCCTCCCTCCATGGATATAGCCCTCCTGGCTCCCTCCGTGGGGGAGCTCAGTAGTCTGCTGCACTTCTCCGAGGAGAAAGAGGGAGAAGCTTAGAAGGATTCTGCAGAGAAGCATGGGTTGTGGAGTGGGGTAAGAAGCATGGCCATCAGGGAAGGGAGGGAGGGAGGGAGGGAGGGAAGGAGAGATGAGGGGCCTACTGGAAAGGTTGCCACATATCCACATCTACTCAAGCTCTTCTGAAAGTTTTGCACCCCAATGTGCTAGCCATCAAGATGGTGTGTGTGTGCGTGCATGTCTAACTTGGTGACACACCAGTGAGGTCTCTGATGCACTGCAACTCTTGCATCTGTTCCTCTTGCACTTCAAGCCAAACAGCTGATCGTCATGGGTGTGCAACTACTATACAAAGGCAGATCCCAGGCTCTGTCTGATCTTCTCCCTAAGAAATTACTATGCAAAAAATACCTGCCCTGTTGCTGGCTAATGGTGGTCACAACTCCTTTTAAAGTTTAGAATTGAAGTAATTTTCAGTTAATTCGTAAGTATTCTGTATTTACCTCTTTCTGACAGCTGGAAGAATCAACAAAAAGCTAATGAATTCTGCTAACCATATACAATGTTGTGGCACATTTCTGATTCCTCAAGCTTTGTCCTGAATATAAAAAATTAATTCCTTTAATTGATTTTCCTTGAATGAAATGTCTAGCTGCATCAGCTCCCCCAAACCTTAGACTGATTTGATAGTTTAAGTTTCTTGCATTTCAAAGCAGTCCAGATTCTCCGCTGGACTTGTGGGACTGTTTTGATCCCCCTCGATTGTGTATGGTAGTACATTCTGTGGGTCAAGTGTATCCCCAGAGAGTATTTTATATCTGTGGCGCCCCAAGGAGTTTATAGCTGAAAATCTATTGCAGAGGGAGGGAAATTGAAGGCAATGTCAAGTATAGGAGCAAATTCAGTATGTGTACGTAAACCTAGTTACATGTTTGGGATGTACATGAAGAACTTACGTCAAATACGTTCAAAAGCCAGATGAAGAAGGGGAGGTTTGGTTCCTTTTCTTGTGAGATGACACATGACTCCCCAGGAGCGGAAAGGGTGGGCAACGGAAAATGACCCCTTCTCACAGTGGGACCTTGGGACGGCCTTCATTGACAAGGTTTGCCCACCGTGGTTGCTGTTGGGCAAGGATGGGGACGGAGCTGGGAGGCTGTTGGTCTGGTGCCTGGGGGGAAAGTGGTTTTGTTTTTATCCTGTTTTTATTGCTTGTTGTGAGCCATCTAGAATCATTGTAGGAGATGGGTGGCTGTAGATAAATAAATTTATCTAAATAAATAAAGTGATGGGAAGTTTATGATTTATTTATTAACTA